CCAAAAAGATATCTCTAAAACTACCTTGAATAAAGTACTTAACGAGATCTTTGTGAAGTGATTTAAAATGTTCGACTTACCGTTTCATACATGAGCTGCATGGACAATTTAGCGTAAAGAGAACTGAACAAGTTACCTAACCATTTTAGTAGACCATGAATCTAAATATCACAGCGTCTAAGAATCTTGGAAGACTGAATACGCTTGTTTTGAGTATCTCAGCGACCACACTAGCTGTCTCCCAATGTATTCTGTGAGTGTGTTGTTAGTTGATAATTTCTAAAATTTGCTATGCTTACTTATTTCTGTTTTCCCTCGTGAAACATAGGGAAACGACAAAAATTCTCCAACCAACTCAGTCTTCAGTTCTCCCCTCCAAGTGCTACCAAATACTATTTATCATTTTGGTCCCTGCTTCCAATTCTGAACGCAATGTGTTCTTTTGTCTACCCCTTTTCTTTTAGCCTTAACGATTCTATGCTAGGGCTTGCTTTATGATGCAGTTTAATGATTTCCATAATGTGTGTCCTATATTAAATCTAGAGTCTTTTCATAAAACGTTTGCCATAGTCACTACGTAGCATGTTCATTTTGTCCATATAGCACAGGTTATCTCTGATAATTCCTAATTAGTCCTTGTTAAGATAAGTATTCACTAAATAGTAATCAATTTCATGTATATTTAGTCTTTGGTATTAAACAGATCCTTCTGATTAAGTTGCTGAGTATCTATTATTTAAAGTGACTCTACATTGAATGTATTATGGTAAGCTGTCAGTTGACTGAAGAAAGTTGATGGGACGTCTTGAAATTAGACTTCATACTGATTGTCACTTGTCAGTAAGGACCATCTGTAGCTGATAATTTCTAAAGTATTTGAAACTGTAACATCCAGTTTCAGAAGTACAGAATTTACTCTATGGGTTGATAGTAACCTCTTGGACGTAGAAAATAATTTCAAAATATCGAAACCTCTAACTGACTATCTAGGTTAGTACTATTGAAAGCAGTAGACTTTTAGAAATCATAATCAATGTTGTATCCCTCAAATCGATATATATATATATATATATATATATGCATTAAAATGACTTCAGTAACCAAATACATGTCTTCATGCATGTAAATATATGTAGGAAAACAAGAATACCCATTATTTGAATCAGAGCTCAAGAAAGACTAACGCAGCAAGCGAACCAGGAACGACTTTTATCGTTAGAGTAATAAACAGGAATATAGAACTCAGTGGATTCACTTGGTTCTTCGTTATCTCGTTTAAGTGGGTTTTTTTCGCAAACTCGTCCCATCAAGTTCCGAACATGAGGAAGAGCGACAACAAATCAGATCTAGGTTAAGAAAAAGTCCGAGAAACGACCGTGAGCAGTGGTGGGCAATGAAAGCAAAAGAGATGGAAAAGGCGGCGACTATAGGGAACACAAAACAGCTTTACAGACTAATAAAAGAAACTGGAATTAATAAGTCAAGTGTAAGTGAGATTATATCGGAAAAAGACGATACTCTTATCTGCTCCCAGTCCAGACGTTTAGAACGATGGGCGGAACATTTCAGAGAACAGTTCAACTGTTCTTCAGATACTCTACAACTACCCACCATTCCCAGACAGTGTGAATGGAACATTGAAGTAGGTCCCCCAACTCTAGCATGAGTTCAAAAAGCTATAGTTAGTCTGAAACGGGGAAGGGCAGTTGGTCCAGATGGACTGGCTCCAGAGGTCTTTAAGGATGGTGGTCCAATTTTAGCGATTAGGTTGACTAATATTTTAGCTAAGATCTGGGAGTTAGACGTTATCTCATCTAACTGGTCACAATCACTTATCGTCCCAATATATAAGAAAGGGTCAAAATCATCCTGTGACAACCAAAGAGGGATTAGTTTAACTAATATAATATCTAAAATACTAGCCTCGATAATTATCAGACGCCTAACTAAGACTCGTGAACTGCAAACACGAGAGAACCAAGCTGGCTTCAGACCTTGTCGTGGCTGCATCGACCACATATTCACCATTCGTCAGGTTCTAGAACACAGGCATACTTATCGACGGCCGACAATGATGGTCTTTCTTGACTTAAAAGCAGCATTTGACTCGGTAGACCGCGAGATTCTGTGGCAGTGTCTGTCATTGAAAGGCGTACCCCAGAAGTACATAAACCTTGTAAAGGCTCTTTACTCGAACACTACTAGTCGAGTCAGAGCTTATGGCGAATGGTCATCTACTTTTGCAACCTCAAGTAGTGTCCGTCAAGGCTGTCCACTTTCCCCATTTTTGTTTAACTTCATCATAGATCTACTGATGGAAATAACTTTCTCGTCGACTGAGTTCTCGGGTATTGATCTCCTACTAGGAGGTCCACTTATCGACTTTGAATACGCGGATGACATAGTCCTGTTTGGTGAAGACGCTGACAAAATGGAGAGTCTTCTGGTAGCACTGAGCAACAATGCCAGAATGTTTGGAATGCGCTTCTCTCCCTCTAAATACAAGTTGTTACTTCAGGACTGGTCTGCGTCAACATCTGAACTAAGGATAGGGAGTGAAGTAATCGAACGCGTTGACAACTTCACTTATCTTGGAAGTCTGATCAGCCCTAATGGGTTGGTGTCTGACGAAATCTCAGCACGGATTCGAAAAGCTCGCTTGGCTTTTGCCAATTTACGTCACCTATGGCGAAGGCGAGATATCCGTCTATCAATAAAAGGACGAGTATACTGCGCGGAAGCTCGTTCTGTTTTTATTTACGGCTGCGAAACATGGCCATTAAGAGTAGAAAATACTCATAAGCTACTAGTACTTGACCACAGATGCCCTAGAAATATTGCTGGCGTCTGCTGGGATCACCGGATAAGTAATAGTGAGGTTAGACGCAGGGTATTAGGGAATGGTGGTAAATCAGTTGATGAGGTTGTGAATCTTCATCGACTGAGATGTTTGGGCCACGTGTTACGTATGCCTGAACACCGATTACCACGACGTGCAATGTTAACCGGTGTTCGGGATGGTTGGAAGTTAGGGGCGGCCAAACCAAAACATGGCATCAGTGCTTGAAGTCACTAACCTCTAGTCTGAGCCATGTTGGTAGATGCAGACTACTTGGCTGGGGTCCGCGTGACTATCATAACCGATGGTTGGAGACTCTTGGTGACATGGCTCAGAATCGATCACAATGGCGTCGGTGTATGCACTCTCTATCTTCCCTTAGACTAAGAGATTAAAATCGCTTCATACCTTTCTTTCTACGAACCAATTTTTTCTTCTTGTACTATATCTCTATATGCAATCTTTCTCTTATATATTACCACCTTTGACATAACCACTGCTATGAATCCGGCGTTCATCTTGTTGTGCTGATGCAGTATGGCAACCTGGACCGATGTACATATGTGCCTGGTCCTACGTTGTAGCTGACTGACTTAAGTGGTTTTTAATCTTATATATGGATGATTAATTAACCTTAAAAACTACTTTATTTTATGTGCTTGTATAGTCCTGTATTACCCAACTGTCAATTTGTATTAAATACTGGTTACAAGTATCCCGTCAACAGTATAAGGCTATGTATTGTAGTGCCTCACTTTACGTTGTTACCCTTTACCCGATGTGATCTTGTTCTTTCAGTAAAGCGAACCATATTATATAAGTCACACGTATTTGTCACAATAAGCCATGATGTTTTATTAGTTATCTACGAAATTGTCCCTCGAATTAATAGTGACAAATAACTAAGTTATTAAGCAGAGACAATTATACTTAGTTTTGGGCTACACTTTCCCTTTAAAAGTAGTGATACTCTACAATGATCAAGATCGAACAGTTTGAAGTTGGATTTAAAATTCTTAATAAAATAAATTTCAGTTGGTCTATTCATTTGAAGCTCTCATTGTTTATATTATTTGATCGAAACACTAGAACAATTGGTTGTAGATAATTCTTTACAAAAAATGATTTGACAACAAATAATATTAAACGTTAGTATGTTTTACTGATCAATATTGACTAAAATTATGGGTCTTTTCCCTGAGTAACCATTGAGCTTTATTATAGGTGTGACAAAACAGAAGATTTCGAAAATGAATAGTGGCTAGCAGTGGAATCCAGGACGAGTGTTTCGTCCGATTTGGGACTCGTCAGCTGGATGTACCTACATCTCACAGTTGATGTTCACTCTGAGATTGGAACCCAATACCATTCGCTCCAAACTCCATCACGTTATCTACTTAGCTACTGAGTTCTGCTAGCCATTTGCTTGTGCAATGGGGTGAAGTTATATTCGCTTGGAGTTTTTTACTTGTATCTTCCCATTGCACAAGCAGGCGGCTATCAGGACTCAGTGGCTAAGTGGATAACTCGATGGTGTTTGAAGCCAAAGGTGCTGGGTTATAGTCCTAGAGTGAACATCAACTCTGGAATTCAGGGACATTCATCTGACACATCCCAAAATAGGACGAAACGTGCGTCCTGAATTCCACTGCTAGCTACTATCCATCTTTGCTTGTAAAGCTTGTGACTTCAGGCAATATCGAGGCAGTCCGCACAGGATGCATATAAGCCAAAAAGAGACTAATCAATTTCAGTCATAAATTCATTTCGACTATATACGTGTTGTTGATAGTTTCACAATGAAAACGCATTACCACCATATAACATATTTCCTTGAAATGATGAAAATTAAAATCTTAGTCTTTTGTTCAGAATATAATCCAGAATTAGTCAATTCTTCAATTAAATTTTGATTAATTCTTGAAGATGGAATAGTATAATGGACGCTTTTTATTCAGTAAGGTGAATACAACTAATGAAGCTATGAAGTGCTTTCGAATAATCAACAGATGGAATTAAAACATCTGATTATTTCAATAAATCCGTTCTAATTTTATTTCATTTTATGGTATCTTAAGCCTATTTAAATGATTTAACATAAAAAGATGTATGAATCATGTTGTGACTTTATCCTTTTCACCAATTTATTCTATATTCATAGTACAAACACAATCATTATCATCTATGGCATCTACAATCAATGTTAAAGAACTTGTTGAACAAATGAAATATCTTCTTCAAGATTTAAAATCATGCCCGGTAACAGATAAATTGATTACCAATGAAGAAAAGTGAGTTGATTGTATATGTTATTTTATCATTTACCTAATGTATACAACAAAGAAAATCATTTATTGAGATCATCTTATGCATGAAAAAATAATTTCGCCGTTTAATGAATAATAAATTAGACTGAATTCAAAGGATATTTAAAGTGATAGTTGCATTTGAATAGTCATAAAGTTTAGATCCCAGTCAATCAGTTTGTTAGTTGCATTATAAGATTAAAATGTAAATAAAATACAATTTCATTCAACTGACTTATAGAATCGAAATTTGGCTATCGATTGAATATTGTTGTCGAACAATAGGTAATAAATTATATGAAGTGAACTGGATGATTACAATTCTCATTCAAGTATATAATAAGATTTAATATATTGAATTTATTTCAACTTGTCATTCAACTGCAACAATTTGGATGACTCTCCCGGTCTCCTACATTTTATGAGCATTTCATGTACCTAAATTAATGATTGCTCTGGTTGTCAGAATGGGCATCAGCCTCGTGACTTCTGAAGGGACGCCTATCATTACTATTAAATGATAATAATTTTATATTGATCGAAGTTGATAAATATGAACCAACTGATTGCGGATTGTCTATTTAATAACTTTTTTTTGATTTAGATTATGAGTCAATTGAAGCTAGACCACCATGGAATACCTGCTAGCATTGGATGGCTGTTTCGTTTTATTGTGAAACTCCTCAGCAGTGTGCATCGACGATCCCAAACCCAACAGCTATCGGTCACGTGCACGAACGCTTAACTTCTAGACCACTGAGTGTTGATTGAACTACCTTCTAATCTCACGAGACGGGATTGTGGATGCACACTGCTTAGAAGTCCCACAATACGACGAAACGACCGTTCAATGCTTCCAAGTTTTCAATGATGGTCTAACATGAATTGGTTCATGATCTCAATCAAAAACTTAACAATCACCCCAACCCCTAAACTGATCATTTCATAAATCTTTGATTTTCATGAAAGTTTAAAATCTTAAAGTTGATTTCTGTATAGATCCATATATTGATCACTAACTAAAGGCTTCAATTAAATTAAAAAGAACGTTTTCTTCAAACCTTCTATGATTTTCATTACTTTTGTTAAACTTCGTACTAGAAAAAAATCGATTTAGTATTTAATGAATGGATGATAACGTTTTTTCTTTCTTTTAACCTTTGAAAAAAAGTTACCGGCTAAACATGATTTATATAAAATGTCATTTAATTACCTAGTAACTATTTATATCTTAATTATAATGAATCTATATGAATAATACTAAAATTTGGAAACAATTATAATAAGATTTTAATCTAATAAAAATCATTGTAAATAAAAAAAAATAGTTCAAATCGAATTCAATTGTCAATTATCGAACAGTTTATTATTGGTATTATTGGTATTGTTGTTGTTGTTGTTATTGAATCGGATCAATAACATTGTAATATATATCTATACGAATGTATTGATCTTTTACAGAGAGATCCAATATTAAATTGATTAATTTGTGATTGGTCCAATTAAAGATCTTCATCATTGATGAAATGTTTATAATCAGTTCTCAAGTGATTTATTAAGTAATTTGGGAATTTAAGGAGAAATTCACAGAAGCGATACAATATTTTTTGTTGAAAATTATAGTCTACAATTTATATAGTTTTAAAAGTCTAACAATAACAATAAATAAACATCGTTTTTGATTGAGATCATGAATCGATTGATGTTAGATCATCAATGAAAACCTACAATAACTGGACAGCCGTTTCGTCCTATTGTGGGACTTCTCAACAGTGCGCATCCACAACCCCATACTCAGGATTCAAACACAAGACCTTCGATTTCGTGCTCGAGTGCTTAACCTTCAGACCACTGAACCAGTATTCAATGGTGCTAATGTTTAACTTCAACCAATCCATGAAATTGCTCAACCATCTTTCATTGTCTGAGTTACATACCTGTCTCTATCTAGCACGGATTATTTCTACTGGTCACGACTTCGCACTAGAACTCGGAGAATTCCGTCACGAAGCTAGTCACTAGTGAGCACATGGTAATTATTAGTATAGTGTTGCGGCCATAAGTTCGAATCTTGCTGACGGTATCATGGATTCAATTATTCTAAATTTAATATCAAAAGGAGTTTTTGTGGATATTATAGTAATTATAATAGTTGAGATCATGATTCAATTGAAGCTATATCACCATGAAAAACCTGGAAGCGCTGGACGGCCATTTCATCCTATTGTGATTCTAGAGGTTAATTGTCCACGCGTGAGACCGATAGGTCCTGGTTTCGAATATCCCAAGACGGGATCGTGGATGTGTGCTGCCGAGGAGTTCCACAGTAAAAGGAAACGTTCGTTCAGTTCTTCGAGGTTTACCATAGTGGTCTAGCTTCAAGTAACTATTAAAATATCATTTTGTTAACAAGCTTGCTTACCTAAGTAGATAGAGTGATATTTGGATATTCTATATAATTCGTGTAAGAAATTATTCATCACCTACGTCAATTATGATGATAAGCTCCTAGTGTTTCTTAAGATTTGTATAATTTGAATTAAATTTATGACTCCGTAACTGACTGACGGAATATAAGTAACGGAATCATCACTTTAACACTTTTTCAATCGATTATTACTCAGAATTATATGACATACATATTTCATAAATGACCTGAGTTGTTGTTTTCCAATGAGTAATTTAACATATACTGATAAGAATTTATTGGCAAGTAACTTTTTTTTAGATAAACACAAATTATAATGTAGTTATCGAATTGTTGAGCTGTATTTCATTAGTTAAAAACTTATCAGATTCAGGGCTTCAATTTTTTTTAGGGATGATTATTCAAGTTGTCATGATATATCAAAGTACATTAAAATAGGTGTTCATGTTACCTCGGTTTCTAAAGTTGTTTTTTTTTTCAGTAATGCTGGTAATTGATAAAAACAATTTCATTTTTTATTGTCTAAATCCTAAACCTAATGATACTAGTTTTAAAATGGTGGAAAAAATTTATAGCATAGGTGGATGATATTTTTTAGTTTTGTTCTCTGAGTTGGATGGCTTGGTTGTGAAGCTCTCGTCGTTCTTTTGAACGACATCATCACCACAAACTTCAAGTAGAAGTGAAGTGTTCGAATTTCTCCATATATGGTTCACAGTTTGTTCTGTAAACTTCGACGTTGATTAGTTTTTGTTGACCTTAAACTTATCATAGTTTACTTCTTTGTTTTGGTTGTATCTCTGATTGGTTTGATTTTTGTTCCTATGTTTGTCTATAATTTTCCTGATTGGTTGATAAATTGGATCGATTTCAATGTACTTGTTTATTGTTGATTGAACTGAGTGCTAAGCTTCAAAAAATTCTCTGGTGTTTTTGGAATTGTCTCTACCTAAAATCTCCACATTTTTCCAGTCGAATAAGTGTCCGCAGTTGATCACGTACATTGATATAAGTGAGGACATGCCATGTCGTTTGACTGCTAATAGATATTCATGCAGGCGAAGATAAAGAGGGCGTCTGCTTTGTCCGATGTAATGTTATTCGCATAATTTTTGGCATAATTTATTTTCTAGAAGATGTTCGATTTTTCTTACAGTTTAGAGAACATAACTCCATCAAGATACTATTTTTCCTTGTAAGGTGAGAAAAATAATCATATTCTGTTGAAGTGTTTTGAACAAACTGTCGAATACTATCCTAATGACCTCGAATTAGATCTTTTAATTTATAATCTTAGTTAATAAAGCTCTAACATTTAAAGTACATAGTTTTTATATTTCAATAGAATTTACCTATTTACGCCTGTTACTCCTCGTAGAGGTGCATAGGCCGACCACTAGCATAATCTGGTTGCCGTTTTTTGGGATGGAGTTGCAGACCTCATGCCCAAATCTCTTCCTTTACCCGGGATTGGGACCGGCAGTAACTCTAAAAGAGCTACAGTCGGAGTTTATTTCAATAGATGTATCATTGATCACAGTGAAGAGTTATGAACAAAACAAAGCACTCAGATTGAAAAATATATTTAAAAAAGACAATTCTCTAATGGGATATTTAAAATAAAATTATTTTACAAATTGTTTAATTGACATAATTATCAATAATTTTCAAATTATAAATATTTGAATAGAATTACTAGGCACACCCATTATGTGTATAACGGTTAAAGCAATTCATTTTTAATCTAATCCCATTTATAAACATGATAGTAATTAACGTTCTTGTAAGCAAGAGTAGCCAAGTCTACAAGTAGAATTATTATATACTTACTTACGCCTATGACCCCCAATGGAGCATAGACCACCGGCCAGCATTCTCCAACCCATTCTGTTCTAGGCATCGCTTTCTTGTTCTATCTAGTTGTTGTTCATTCTTCTCATGTCTGTCTCCGTTTCTCGGTGTAATGTTTTCCTTGGTCTCCCTCTTCTCTTTCTGCTTTGAGGGTTACACTTGAGGGCATGCTTCCCGATGTAGTGAGGGGTGCTTTCCTCAATCAACGATCAAACTACAGAGTAAAAGACAAATAATTTTAATGCCTATGTGTATACTCACCAAGATTTGAATTTAAAACTGATAGTTACTGAGTCGACTTTTACTGTTATGTAAACGATATTATGTACAATCACATAAAAGAGTTCATACGCAAACTAACTTCTTTATTCAGGAGGTTTTTCAAGGGAGTAATTTTTATGAAGATTAGTTTTTAATCATTTTAATGCCGATATATCACTTGTAAGGCTAACACTGTAGCTAGTTTAGTTAGATAGCAATCATAGATAATGTGTGACTATTGTCCATCGTAACGAACTAATTACAATTGGAAAATACTGGATGTTATATTTTAAATAAATAGTCGAATAGTTGTTTATTTTTTTAAAGAAAGTTTATGAATTATATAAGGTTGAAGTCGAGCTCTGTCGAAGAACTCTGTCAAAGACAAATCAGTGTTTGGATAATTTTTAGTCATCAATTTAAACTAAGTAGATGTTAAGCGATCAATATTATTTTCATTCATAAATCCTTGATGAATATACTAGAATGCTTTAAGTTTTGGGCTAGAATAACCTAGTTCATAGACCTCTTTGTTGAGAGGTGATGAATTCTGAGGTTAGCTGACTTATTTAACAGGTTAACAGTCTGATCAACATCAAAGAGCTAATAAGTTTGTGATGGAGCCAGAAAAAGATTTGAAATTTAATTTAAGCCAGTCGTTTCTAGGCATTCAGGAATTTTAAAGTGATTGCTGTTCAGGAACACCTTCAATTATTCTACGAGGTAGGTCTTACAGGAGTTCTCTGTTGAATAATTATGTGGCGAAATGTTATAATTTCATCCTGTAATTTCTATTTTAATGCACCTTCGTCTTGATCCTTTGTAATATCCAACATTGTGAAGCAGAATAATCTTGCATATGAAAAACAGTGTGTTTATTTCCATATCAAGTAAACCTACAATTATAGAGTTAGGAGATAATAAAATTGAACCTGTCACTCATTCTTGTGATTGAAAAGAATTTAGTTGTTAGAAGCAAATTAGAAGCGGCCATTTGTAGTCATTAATGATGTTAACATCCTATCTCTGATTTAAAGAAATTTCGATGTCAAAAATTTACAACTCATTTCAAAGTTAGCACCCTTACTAAGTGATAGTAATGTTGAAAGAAAGAAGGAGAATCAAGAAATGGGGAGAAATCCTAATCACAAAGTGAAAAAATTTCTCAATTTCTTTGTCTCTATGATTATTCATATGATGATATAAATTGTTTTGAAACTCATAATAATTCGAAAATCAAATCTAAATGTTTGGTTCAGTTTCATAGTGTAGGTAAAACACTATTTTAAATATCCTTCTTGTCTATAATTAGATCGATAGCACTGATGACATATTTTCATCACGTTTTTAACCCATTGGAAAATAGTCTTTATAAATGGAAAAGAAAACAATAATGTTGCTAAATGTAAAGAGATTTTATGAATTTGATAAAACTATTAAAATCTTTTATATGCTATTCTGTCCGTGAATCGAAAAAAAACTACGACACATTGATTACTCCGTAAACATACTGATAATTAAAATGTGCTTACTAATGACTAGCTTCGTGACGGAATTCTCCGAGTTCTAGTGCGAAGTCGTGACCAGTACAAATAATCCGTGCTAGATAGAGACAGGTATGTAACTCAGACAATGAAAGATGGTTGAGCAATTTCATGGATTGGTTGAAGTTAAACATTAGCACCATTGAATACTGGTTCAGTGGTCTGAAGGTTAAGCACTCGAGCACGAAATCGAAGGTTTTGTGTTTGAATCCTGAGTATGGGGTTGTGGATGCGCACTGTTGAGAAGTCCCACAATAGGACGAAACGGCTGTCCAGTTATTGTAGGTTTTCACTGATGATCTAACATCAATCGATTCATAATCTCACTCACAAACTGAACGATCTCTACAAACTCATACTGATATTAATTGTCCATTTACATGAATCCTTGCAAGGACCAAAATGGATTTTTAAGTCACTAAATTGTTCTTGTTTAGAGTTAGAGCAAAGAGTTTTCATTACAAACTGACACCAACTGTTGTGCGAAAGTGATTTGTAGACACATATTGGAATGTAAATAGGACAAAACTTCAAAAGGTGCTATCTTAATTTTCACTTATTTGTCCATAAATTATAGTACCACCGGGATAATGTTTGTCTCAGGATTATGAATTAGAATTCAGTCATAGATTTAATTTACCTGTTACGCGTTAAAAAAACGAATCATTTAACACTATCTTTTTTACCCTATAACGATTAAATGTAACTTTTCGTTTTCACTTGATACATTCTTCGAACCATCCAAAGATATTTTCTTTTCGTTTTCTCGATTCAGATCATTTTATCTCTATGATATACTTTAGACGAAAATGTGTACGAGCTTATTGTTTGGTTTGTGACGAAGGCAACACATTTTAACAGTTGTGTTTAAAACACTTGCTGAAATAAAACAGCTTGATTGAAAACATTTAAAAACGAGAATGTCCAGAATGTAGTTCATATAATCCTTACTGTATCTAAGATGTTTATCAGCATAGCACAAAGTTAAAACCATAATATAACATTGAGATGAATAACTCTATATGAATAATAATGACAGTGTGATCTATGTACTTTGATTCAGTAGCATCTAACAGAGTATGTTAGTACATAATTGTGTACACACATAGAATTAGCTCTAAATGTAAACTTAAATGACACTATTATTTTACTAAATAATATCAAATGAGCAATTTTATGACAATTAACTATAATAGATGGCTAAAGTTAATTACACTTAAGCTAAAATCGAATATATTCAAGTTTGTTATAATCATTTAAAATGATCATATCATTTAATCTATGGAATGAGATTTGAAAGTTATCTCTTATACCTTTTCATGAATTTAATGTACAATCATGTCATTCTTATTAATATCATAAATGTAAACCTACTTTCATTTGAATTTTGATGAATTTCATCAATTATATTCATGATTTAAATCATATTATTGAATATATCGTGTATTGTTCGTATGTTTTGACTATTTCTATAGTATTACAAGATTCCTTAAAGCACGTAGTTGGGACTTACAATCTGCAGGAAAAATGATGCGTAAAGATGTACAATGGCGCCAAGAATTTCGACCAGATTTAACAGACTGTAAAAATTGTCACAATCAACCAGGAACTCATAGTTTAGTAAGTTTCATTGTTCATTTCTTCCTCAGAGTCTATCAAGCAAATAAATTCACTTATTTTTAAAAGTCAATGGTCAGTTTAATATAGTTTACTTATCAGGGAGTTACATGGTTTTATTTTATTTATTTATTTGAACACACGAACATTTGTACAAGGAGGCACCAAATAGATATACACCACATAAATCATTCGATTCGTGTGAGGGCTGGGATACTGTCCGAAGGTGCAAACCGAAGCAAGTGGTTTTCTTAGGGGGCCATACTCGGAACCTTTGACCTAAAGGTCTGATCCACAAGGCAGTGGAGCGACGTAGAGAGATCCAGTCACATGGTAGTCGATGACCAACAGTTGATTCATACGTCATTTGTTTCCTCAGGATCCTTGAGCTCATGTACACTATTGGTTTGGAATGAGGGTTTTCCGACTCTCCTAGGTGGACTCACCGTGTCCACAGGCTCGGTTAAAGTGCCGGACATTCGCTTTTCGTGCTCTCAATTTCGAAAACAACAGTCATGCCGCGAGAAGGCAGTGAGTAGGACTTGTGTGGTAGTGGTTATATGCACGTGGCCATATGAGATCATTTGGAGAGGGAGAGCTAACTCTACCCGCTCTTGGGCGTACCAGGGCATTTTGGGACAGTCGTTGTGAAATAAATTGAAGTATTTTCTATTATTTGAGAAAATCAGTTCGTGGAAATACTGTAGTTTAATTAGTTTGAATGGATTCAACAAATCACTAAGCCATTCAGCAAACCTGGCGACTCAAGTCAAGAAATTAGTCATTTACTGTAAAATTAAATTAGGAGTTTACAACTTGATAAATGTCGATCGTTGTAAATGAAACAGAGTTTGATCACGGCCGATAAGATAATAATAATAATATTAACAAAATATGTAAAATTCTTTGCTTGTTTCAGTTAAAACCGTTCAAATTTACTGATTTAATGAGAATAAGGTTTAGTATAAATGAAAGTGAATGACAGTGGGACGGTGGTTGTTGGTTGACTGAACTAATATTTGTTATGTTCTTCGATTGTACGATTACCGTGAATACGATCGCCAAAGTTAGATACCTGACCTTATACGACCAAAAATTGGTGTATACACCTAAGCGAACGGCCTAGAGTCCCAAATGGTCCTTTTCCCTACCTATAATGTCCGGAACATCGATCGCAGCCTCCGCGATATGAATCAAATATTTCAAACCTACTCGGTTTATTTACGAGCCAAATAGACCACAACACACTGCAAAATAGAAAATAACATTTATATAATATCTAGCCAAAAATGGTTGTGATTGTGGGAGACTGTAATTAATAAACTTAGCATAACTTAATAATGGTAAATCGTATAATAATAGTCTATAGATAAAAATAAAGCTTATAATAAGGGGAATATGAATATACATAGTTTAGTTACATAGCCTATAAATAGATCCCAACAGTTACCACTCATTATTCCCGTTGGGATACAACAATACTGATCCAAAAATATTGGTAATTAATTGTAAATGATTTTATCAATCAGTGAAATTAAACTATCACATTAAATCATGGGCTAAATCAATCAGATTTAGTCAATGTGTAGTTTATTATGGTGAAATATTAATATTATCTGTTTTTGTATTTTAATTGTACTTTATGATAGTTGAATTTAAAATTGATGAGCCCATGTGCACCATCGGTTTGAAATCAGGGTTTTCCAACTCCTTTAGATAGATCCTAAATATCGCTTTTTGTCCTCGCAATTTCGTAAACAACAGTAGTCACGCGAGAAGGTAGTGAGTAGGACTTTCCTGGCAGAGTCTGTATACTCGTGGCCGTAGGAGAGCATTTCGAGAGGGAGGGAGGGCTTAATGACTTTGTGTTTCAGTGGAGATGACTTTTAAAAAAGACTCTTACTAAGTATTCATAGGTTAAATAATCAAAAACATATATGGCTTGTGTCAATATACGCTAACAGTTATAGTCCTGAAAACTTTGATAAACATAGTAATTCCACGTCTTCGTATACCATGTTTAAATATATTATTCTATGTACATTTATGCTTTTTATAGAGACAGATAGGATTTGATGAAGCTGGGCGTCCAATTATATATGCATCATTTTGTCAAGCTATTTCAAATAGAAACATGTCAAATGACGCAGTAACTCATCTAATATATACAATTGAAAATGCAATCAAAAGTATGAAGTCTGGTGTTACACAATGGGTTTTTGTAATTGATTGCACTGGTAAGTTAGTGAAAAATTTAACATTTTGTGTATATAATTTTGGATCGGTGAAACATTACTCTAAATAATGTACCCATATTCTGTTGTTACTCGTTACAGTTAAACTCGGACCATAAGTTATAGTTTCAAACACAAACTTAGCCAGTGACATTATTTCGCTTATTCCCAAGCTTTATAACATTTATACTCTTTCGGTGATTATAGACTCCATCCTTCGTAACTGTTTTCACAGATAGAATATTAAGTAAAAAATGTCCCAATTTAGTGAATATTTGCTTGCTTCAAACAATATTTTAACTAACTATTCTCAGACTATATCTACATTTAAGGTTGACTACGTTTTAGTGAATTATTCACTAAAAATGATTAAGAGTGAGATTTCAGTTTCTAATGTTAATCAGAAGTGCATGATTAGTTGTTTTTTGAACTATACATATTGCCTTGTGCACATATATCAATAACAGAGACTGATCCATTGCAGTGCTAAACATCAATGTGGAGATTTAAGTAAACGATACCAAGTGAATTTAAACTTCACCCCATCGCACAAGCAAATGGCTTTCAGAACTCAGTAGGTAAGTGGATAATGTTATGGCACTTGAAGTGAACGGTAGTTGGTTCGGGTCTCAGAGTTAACATCACTTCTGAGATGTAGGTACATCCAAATAGGACGAAACGCGTGTCCTGGATTCCACTGCTAGCCACTATCTATCTTTGCTTATGGTATTTAACTTAGTTTTCGAAATCAAATTTTGATTGAAGGATAATATCTATGTAAATATATTGAAACTATAGAACATTCTGAAATATTCATCGAGGATGTTCTCTAGAGTACATATATTTAAAGAAATTGATTTATTTCACAAACCCTGTTCATAAATATTTTCACTCGTTTCTTTTAAATTAGAAGTTTTATTCGTGAAGAGATGAAAAAAATTCAAACACAACGCCAAATACTGATTACCTTCATCATTCAAGACGTTTTCTATTAGTTACTTCAACTTTAAATTCTATATTATCTTCAAAAGATTTAACTATCAAGCAATCAATCGTATCTACAACGTCTTTGTTTACTTATGAGAAAAGTTAGATTTTGTTTAATTATCTAGATCGTTACTAGAAATTACCGAATTTCCCCCCACCCCACCCCCACCCCATTTGTTAGTAATAATTGTGATTACTTTTCAATCACTGAAATACGCTTGACTTCACTAGTAAATCTTAAACAGTGAAATAATTTTTAGTTTCATATTAGATATTCATCATGTTCAATGATTATTCATGAAGTGTGCCTAATTGACTCGACTATTCAAATTCGTAACAGATCTTTAACGTTATGACTGTTTATATTGAGTTCATATTGTATTGGGGAGATAAAAATTAAGAGTCATTAAATGTTTGACATCATATTGATGTAAATTCTCAGTAATAGACTACTTGTAAATAGGGGAACCTCACAAAAGTAATATAAGAGGATATTAATTTATTTATTAAAAATGGCTACATATATGAAGTGTAAATAAAGATATTGAATTGAATGAAAATAAGTATTGTTTGTTTATATGAGCTTGAGTGCTCAAACAAATACCTTGGAGACATTATTACTAATCATTTATTGATTTCTGAGTATTTAAAAAGATTTTTGTTGTTGTCATGTGATGATGGAATAAAGCATTCAATGCTTTGAGAAGTACGTTAATTGTTGAATTTACAGTAAGAATGAATTTTCTTTGTATATTCTTGATTATATTAACATGCGATTCCATGACATTCACGTTTTTCAAAAAGTGTACCACATGAATTCCCACCATGCATTGAAGGTTTTTCAATATATCTCCAACGCATTTGCGTACCTTTTTGATGAGAACATGATACTGAGCATGGACTCCAACCACTCCATGTAGTCATTATGCAATCTTGTTTATGACCCGATATATCATTTAATTTTTGATGTTCTATTTCATTTAATGAATTAACATCATTTTTATCATCCACTGATTTTTGTATAGAGATAGCGGTATGATTATTTGTTGCGTTATTATGGATCATAGAAGTGTCATTTGTGTATGTACGCATGCTAGCCATACGTGCCTTATTGATTTGTCGTAGCTTCTCCATTTCTAACGGGAGACAATCAGATAAACAACCATGATATGTTTCAAAATTGTTTTCATTACCACCACAACCACGGTATTCAAAATCACGACATCTTCGTAGGCGGGGACAAAAATACCTAGGAAGAAATAGGTAAATAATCGTCATTACTGTAATTAAAAATTATTCTACAGGTGTTGATCAAAGTTTTTGATTTATTTCGAAGTACCACTAATTAATAAACCTACATTACTATAGTAATAGAACTGGTCAGAAACAGATGCAGCTGTTTGTCATGCAATGAAATGTATTGACCAGAGTAGTAAAATATAGAGTACAGAACCTTGATCCAATAACTTATTGGTAATATATGCACTGGAATACAAGAATTGACAAAGTTTAAACTTATTTGAGCGTAGACCCTAAACTATATCAAAAACGACATTAAGTACATCAAGTCACAAAATGACTCTCAATGTACTTTGATTTTTTATGAAATTACTTCACATATATATGTTAGTTCTAAGAAAGATTTGTCGTTTCATTCTTGGACATCTCCACATTTTTCTGTGTAATCATATCATTTGAGCAGCTAAAAAAACTTCAAGAGATGATGTCTGGTTAACAGTGTGATGAAGTGTAGTGGACAAATTACCCTAAGGTTTTTAAATTAAAATGTTCAGGGCTAATGATGTGTTATCTGTTAAGAGTTAAGTTGTGATAACCTTCACTGATTAGTAGAGGAATAAAAACATTCGAACGAGATCAGACTGACTCAAGGCACAATAAAACCGATCATTTGTTTAACTTAAGATGATACTATTCATCCAGTTATGATAACAGGGATTTCATTTAAAATTTCATATAACTGATGAAAAGTATAAAAATAACAAAATTCATGTTTATATGAATAACTTATTCGAAATCCTTTCTAGTTCAATTAAAATAAACTGAACTTCGATAATTTTGACTGTTACCTTAAGTTTGAATTAGAAAGATTTATTTATATTTCCCTTTCTGAATTCAGGTGTACGTTATGTGTCTTTTTGATATATTCCCGTCATCTTAGTCTTTTAATTGACTGTATTCAGCAAGGGACTAGTGATTACATACTACATAAATCAGGTTTACACTTATTACTTTTGATTATGAAGCCTTGATCTTAGTCATAATATAAGTTGTGCAGCAAAAATTATTATACTTCATCAGAAACACTGCATGTAATGTGTGTCCTAATCTTCCACTCTGAAGCCTGATGTTATTTATGAATGTTTTAATGTTTCATAGCTTTAAAAAATAAACCAGTTTCCCGGGTACATCATTGAGATTTCCCAGGCAACAGGGAAAAGTAGACTTTGACCAAAAATATTGTTACCTAATAAGCCTGAATTTTACTGAATTCAATGTCATTTAGTTATTTAACCTTGCTAGTGTATTATTACGTGTTAACATCAGTTGAAAAAGCATCGAAAACTTTAATACAAAAAAGACCCTCTGAATCTACTATTTTCATATATCAGTCTGAACGACAATATACCATTTAGTAATAACTTATCCTCAAGATAAATGCTTTAAAGTCCTATTAAAACATCGTCTTTTATAAACTCAAACAGGTCAAGTTTGATAAATGAAAGTTCACGACAATGTAAACATTCGTAGTCTATTTACATGAACTGAGAAAATCTAGATTAAAACAAAACAACTATTTACTGCTTAATTTTAAAGCCAAAACCTCGACTAAATAATAAATAAAGTCATAACTTACCATCTATTCTGTGGTGGGTTATCATCCATGCAAGTATAACCAGGGTCCATTACCTGAGAACAGTGTTTAGCTGGAGAAATCGATTGATTTTTAAAATCATTACTGTCTGTAGCTAATTGAGCTGTTTGATATTGTAATAAAGCTATCCGTTCTCTTCGCCAATTAGGTAGTGCTTCAACAGCTGGAATGCATAAATCTTCGCAATCTTGTTTTGTAGGAAATCGATTACGCCCACCTTTACATCCTAAATATTTGAATGGTAAACATGCATGTTCAATAGCACTATAGTAGTATGCTAAAACTTTTTCACCACATTCTATACCATCTTTTCTACCCTCTGAACATATTGTAGCCGGATCACAATCTGTATCTTTTGGCTGACATTCCCTCAATTCTCGTAAAGTACCATTGTTTGACTCGGTTTCACTTTGAAATATATGTTCGCAATAATTCTTTTCTGATGAGCGGGCTAAATAACGTGTACGTGTTTGCCATCCATGCGGTTTATCACAAGTAGCATTACATGGGGTCCAAGCAGTCCATGGTAATAAGCTGCACATAGCACTGAAATCACATGTGCGTTTTATACCATCACATGACTATATAGTTTAGGAGAAAAGAAGTTAATACAAATTTATAGTGTTCATAGATTTCTACTAGAATTGCTTTCATGCTGATAATTTTAAGTAATGCAATCAACAAATACATTAGAAGTTGAAGTTTAGTGATTTGACACTATATGATATTTTTGAATTGATTGCTTACTAACCTACTCCTTTTATCCCTCATGGGGTAGCATTGGACGTCCACCACGATTCTCCAATCAACTCTGTCCTAGTCTCTCCTTTCCAGTTTTTGGTAAGTTCTATTCGTTCTTTTGATGGCTGTGCCAGATTCCCGACTCCATGTGTCCTTTGTCAGCCTCTTTTCATTTTTATTTGAAGATCCCAAGTTAAGGCTTGCCTTGTGATGAGGTTTCGCGATTTCCTCCAAGTGTGACTTATCCATCTCCAGAATATTTTCCCAATTACCTCTTCATCTGAAAGTTGTTTTGATCTCTACCACATTAAATTGCTGCTGACAGTGTCTAGTCAGAAGATATAGAGTATCTTAGATAGACAGCTATTTATAAATACCTGTACCCTTTTGATGATGCTAGTAATAGTTCTTCAAGTCCTAGCTCTTTAAAACAGAACTGTCTTGACACTGACTGACAGTTGTTTCTTCGTTATCCCATATAGTTGTCTCATGTTTCCCTTCCCTATCAGGTTTTCTCGCTGTCTCTGGTGGGTTTCCCACATACTTCCGCTTATCTGGTCTAATTTTCTTCTTCATTCACTTGCTTGCTTCTATGTATTTGGCCTGTGCATTGGCCTTCTCTGTTCTTGTTTGCCCGTTGTTGAATGGTGTATTCATTGCTCTTGTTTTCTTGAAGGTTTCGCAGGATATCAATTGGTGCTGGTGCCTTGTGGGATCCATCACTTCCTTGGTTTTCGAAATTATTGTTTCTTTAATTCATTTTCAGTTATTAACTATAATGGTGAACAACTTTAGACTAATAATGATAGGATTTCAGTTATTATTTAATTACATTTTCAAAACTCCAACTTGTTATGTTAAATATTCACGTAATTATCCTACCAAAAATCATTGACTTTGTGAAATGTATTTATACCACAGTTTTAGGGCTATGAAAGTTTTCCCAGTATCTACCTAAACCATTTCAGATTTGAATAACAGGATAAAACGTATGTCCTTAACAGTAAAAGAATATGTAAACTTGTATGATATCACTTGAAATCATTTATGTGGTAATCAAAAGAGTAGTAAACCTTGATTGTGATGACACTGAAAGAAACCAATAAGTCAAACTAATGCTTCGATTCATTGCTTACAAAAATAATTCCTCTGTAGTCAAGTTAACTGTCGAGCACTTCTTTAATTTCCGTAATTATTGGAATAATATTCACCTAAGATAAACAATCCTTATTTTGATTTAAGTATAAAGTATGGTTTCAACTGTTTTAATCTTTGGGAACCTATACAAATGACCTTTTTGAAGTTGGTAAAATTTTATTTTCTGAGCTGGATGGTTTGGTCCTGAAGTTTTCATCGTTCTTCTGAACGACATCCTCAACACAAACTTCAAGTATCGATCCGTTTTGAAGGTCTGCTGACGAATATAGGTGAATTTAATCTATGATAAAAAGAAGTTCATACCGATTCATTGATTGATCCATCATGGTATCAAGATTTCATTGTTATAAATACTTTTTTTATTAGGAAGAATAAGAATTTAAGCTTAATGTGTATGTCCGTTAGGTTACTGAATGCTGATGCGATTTCTTCATGAAAGTTTGGACAATCTTATCGAAGTATTTACGTTAAACTGTAAATGACTGATTATCTGAGTTTATACTGGTTCTATTAGCTCGGTCAGACTACCCGTTTATTCGTTCTTGTAGATTGTGGATACACTGACACTATAATTAGTTAATCATTACTATACTATTTCCTTGTGTAGAAAATGTTTCTCAGATGAAGGTATTTTCTTGAGTTGTACAATCTTATTTATGGGTGATTTTAATTATACACAGGAATGTCATATCATCAAATCAAACTACAAGAAATAGTTAAAGACTTTCAAGTATACAGTGTAAAAGGCCATAAATAGGTAAATAGTGTTTGTATTAGAAATTTGTTCACAGTTGAAGCAATAGAAATTCATCATTTCCCATCTAACTTCCATATACAAGAGAGTCATTTTCGACCCCCTATTCTCTCATGGTCGTACCACCCATCCTTATTTCATAAATCGTAAACATTAATAATTATCTTATTCTTCTCTTTCTACTTATTTGTAAAATGGACAGCTGGCTTTTGTACATATTGTATAAATTATTATTTTCCACTACTTTTGAAACTATTTCTTGAGCATTTTTGATCACTTCGTTAAATGATGTTGTGGGGATGGCCCACGGGTGAACTAAAGAAAGCTCTAAGACGCTAAGAAAGAGCCAAACACGTTCCATCCAATCATCTCCTGAAGAAACATTCCAGGGACATTCCCTATTGAACAAATGCTAAAAACCACTGTATGCGATTTGAATGTCTATAATGATAATTTCGCTTTTACTAAAAACTATAATTATCTGAGAGTTTTGTACCATATTTGATACTGTTCGGAATAACATTCCCTCTCACTCGTCTTCTTTCTTCTCATTTGCGACTTGGAGGTTTATGGCGTTTAAGTGCTCAAGTAGTACACGGTATATCAAGAATCTAAGTTCTAGATATAACAGATGTAACACTTAGTTTATTCCATACGTTAAATCTCTTGATGATGATCGATTATTTTGTTAAAGGATATGACAGCACTTCAATTTTTTAAATTTTCTTTACTCTATACTTGAAAATATTGGATTATCTTTGGCAATTTTGTTTAATAATATGACATTCGTGATATCTTTTTGATTGAGATCATGGGCCGATTGATGTTAGACCACCTATGAAAACCTAGAAGCACTGGACGGCTGTTTCGTTTTATTCTGGGACTCCCCCTCAGCAGTGTGCATCCACGATCCTGCTCGCGGGATTCGAACCCAGGGCCACCATTCTCGCGCGCGAACTCCTAACCTCTAGACCATTGAGCCGACTGGCATCCAACGGCGTTAATGTCCAGCCTCAATCAATCCATGAATTCTTGATATCAGTCTAGACTATCATATGTGTATAATATTACCAGAAAATACAATAGTAAAACTGAAAATCGACAAGAAACGCCTTCAATTATTTTAATAACTCAATGGGTTTCGATTATTGTCATGATATTTTTCATTTTTAGGATTCTTTTTCATAAATATTTTGAAGTGTCTAAATTAAAATCAGTGCACTTGGACGCAATTGATTGAGTTGTTATTTACGATTATTTGTTTAAGAAATGTACGATATAATAAGTCATATTTTTTGCAGTTAGGCATTTCATAGCGTCATGTTGAGATTATTAGTATGCATACCATTTGAAACCAATGAATGAGGAAGCATGGTAAAACACTCGTGTTATTTAATGGAAAATACCTAACCTACGAATTGATGGAGTAAAATACATACAATATTATTGCAATGTATCTATAGTTTCTTTCGTTATTTCAAGGATCTTCTATTTCTTACCTCTTCTTCAACTAATGGAACATGTTGACAAAGCTCTGTCTTCTTATTGATCAGCATGTCACGTTGTCTAGTTCGACGACCAACACCACAGGTAACTGAACACGACCCCCAGGCTGACCAAGGACTTGTAACACATAGAAATGTGGCCATCTGTGCCAAACTTGGATCTGATAGAGGATCATCCCCACCTAGTCCTCCACTTGTAATTCGTGTTCCGCCTACTCCACCACTACCAATTTTGTTTCGAGTTTTCTTTGGTAGTGCACCTGTTAAATCCCCCATAACTGACTGAACTATCGGAGAATGTTTATTAGATTGGGATCCTGGTCTGGAACCTACTGTTTCTGTACTTCCATCGGCATGAAATAGCTCCACCCCATCGTACAACTTTGAAGTACATTCCCATGATTCATTAGGTAAAACTCTCTCCAAGATTAATTTTGCTACCGGGACGCCTGGCGTGAATGGACTATTTGGCATCCAGTCTCTGGTGATAAAACGAATAGGTTCTGGAACATCCTGTATACATATAAAAGTTATTCGGGATATTTTATGGGTTAAACAATTGATGAACATGATATTTATCACTCTTCAACTTACTCACCCAGATCAAAATTTAAAATGTACTTTAACACTACAAATAGCCAAAAAGTATATAAGTCTTATACTCATTTCCTCCGTCCATATACTATTTAAATAACGCAAATCGTTTTTAAGTGAGACTTTAAAAACAAGGAATGTTTGAATTACTCTTTATTCTAACCCGATTTCAAATGACATAGATACAGAAAGATAAATAACAAATTGATCTTTGTAGAAGTGGTGGTATATACGAATTCATATCCAAGGACGTGTGTACTTACAACAATTTTTATTATTTTGGATCGCAAAATGTAAAATGCAGTCATTAATAAACGGTAAATTGGAAAAAAAATTATATATTTATCCATGGAGTGAACTAAGATTATATCGAGGCAATACGCACAGTATGCCAATAAAAGACTGATCAATTGCAGTCCTAAACATCAATGGGAAGATTCAAGGAAACAATACTAAGTGAATTTAAACTTCACCCCATTGCACAAGCAAGTGGGTGTCAGGACTCAGTAAGTAAGTGGACAACACGATGGCATTTGAAGCGAACGGTACTGGGTTCGAGTCCTGGAGTGTACATCAGCTGTGAGATGCAAGTACATCCAGCTGACGAGTCCCAAATAGGACGAAACGCGTGTCCTGGATTCCACTACTAGCCACTATCCATCTTTGCATTTAGTACCAAAAACTTTTCAACTAATAATCTGACTAGTGCATGTTTTTCCAAAGTGATTTTTGTGATTAAACTCTAGAAAACTTGGTAATAATAAGACCCAATGATTGGAATTCGGCTAATTGTACTTCATCTGTGTCAGCCACTACACACCACATCCGCACTAAGCCCAACTACACAATATTTGAAATTGTCAATGATTTGATGGACAAGTCGATGAATATTTTATGTAGCAATAGGGTAATAATTTGATAGTTATTCGGCATTATTTCTAGTTTCCCAAAATCGGTTTATTTACTACAATCTAACTTATTTTATTATTTCAACGGTGCATTGGTTTACAGAAGTAATCCTACGAAATTCTCTACTTAAGCTTCAAAGCTTATTTGGATGGTCGAGATATTTTCTTGTTTCCCTAAGTTGGTATTCACAAAGTATTTAAACAAACACAATAAATTTTAGAGTCCACCAATTGAAAATAAATTTCAGAGTCAATTAAAATCCTGGTTGTTTCAAACTATGTAACCCCCAAATGCCCTGGTGCATCTGAGAGTTATGAGAGTCAGCTCTTCCTCTCCAAATGCTCCCACATGGCCACGTGCATATAACCACTACCACACAAGTCCTACTCACTGCCTTCTCGCGGCATGACTGTTGTTTTCGAAATTGAGAGCACGAAAAGCGAATGTCCGGCACTTTAACCGAGCCTGTGGACACGGTGAGTCCACCTAGGGGAGTCGGATAACTCTCACTCCAAACCAATAGTGTACATGAGCTCAAGGATCCTGAGGAAACGAATGACGTATGAACCAACTGTTGATCACCGACTACCATGTGACTGCATCTCTCTACGTCGCCCCACTGCCTTGTGGATCAGACCTTTAGGTCAAAGGTTCCGAGTATGGCCCCCTAAGAAAACCACTTGCTTCGGTTTGCACCTTCGGACAGTATCCCAGCCCTCACACGAATCGAATGATTTATGTGGTGTATATCTATTTGGTGCCTCTTTGTACCAATGTTTATGTGTTTGAATAAATAATAATTAATAAAATTGCTGAACTCGTTACCGACTAACGTCCAAGGTAAACAGTCAACGTTCTTGAAATTGAAGTATTTCTCTGATGAGTTGTACAGAAATAAAAATATATTGATTGAATTTTCCTGATGTTTACTCAAGCGTTTTAACAAAACTCAAGAAATTATATTGAGTTTTTATGTATCTTAGAGAACAATGGTGTTGGTTACCATCTAATAAACAACTAGTAAACATAATCTTACTGTCCTACTAGAAAGTGATTTAAGTAATAAATTTTAGGTCTAAAATTGAACTTTACATTCTCTAACAGGATCCCGGAGTTATTAATATTCATAGTATGTCAGCAGTTTCTAACAGACAAAAATATGATACCACAAGACAATTACCTTGTTATCTGAATTTTTAGGAAGATATGTATCACCGTTACGAGCTCCAGCATCCCAAGGAAATAAGTCAATTTCAATGTTTTTTACCCAAGTGCAGTCCGCTTGACAAACTGATTGACTGGAAATACCTGTACACCAATTAGGACTGGGTCCAAGCATTGTTAAAAATGATATTAAAGGATGTGTTCTATTTACACCAACATAAGTTGTTCTCGTCTCTTCAAGAGCTTCTTCTCCCCACATGCCTGGAGCAGACACTAGACTTAGTAACGGTCCGATACCGGTAGAACCTCTTTGAGTTCCAGATGGAACTCCTCCTAAAGAACCTGTGTTTGTAGCAGCGATCCCGAGTGACTGTTTCATCACAGTTGTGTCACCATACGTACAAACAGCTTGAACTCCAGCACTTGCTGGTTCTCCCATACGGTAAATTTGGAAACTTGGTGAGTGACTAGCACCGATAAGGTTAGTCCAGTGAAGTGCTCCAGGATTGTGGACGGGCCAGTCTTTTGGATGTGTTGCTCTAGTCCACATACCAGTAAAGGTGAGCTTATAAGTTGCTGAACCACATGCACAACAGTCTTGAGGTTGCATACTATCCAAATGCATAAATTCATCATGTGATAACTTCATCGTTCTTTCCTTTATAGAATTTTCGACATTTCTATCATTTGCAGGTAACATGTAAGCTGGAAGAACAGGACTTGGTGGTCGTGTATAACTTGGACAAAGTGTTTTGGTCAAACCACCTTCATAATATATGGAATAGAAATACAGAGCATTGAATAAGAACAATTTGATCCATAAATAAAAATAAGTCATATTTGCTGACATCTATATGTCCAGTGAAATTTAGTGGATTATTTGAATGACCATCACTTCACACTCTTATCTATCAGGTCCACGATCATTAGTTAATACTGAACTAAGGGACGTACCAAAATAGTTTTCGTAAGCTTAAGAATAATAATGTTCGAACAGTGCCATTATAAGATCTGTGTTCAGATGCTTGAAACATTTGGTTTTAGGTTCAAAGACCATTTCTCAAAGTTAAAGAACATCAACTCTTAGATAGTAGGATATTTCTGTAGCGACATATATTCGATGCGTATTGTTCGTAGTCTCATGAGCTTTTAATGACTATGACAGTACTTGACCAATGACCATGAGGACTTGTGAAACTCCTCAAATACGTTAATTAACTGGTATATAGCAGTCGTTTGAATTAATAAAGTTTAAGGGATTTATATTCACTTAGTGTTGTTTACTTGTGTCTTCCCATTGTTATTTAGGACTGTAATTGATCAGTTTCTCGTTGGCATATGTGTATCTTGTGTGGGCTGTCTTGATATTGCTTGAAGTCACAAGCTGAGTCCCGAATAGGACGAAACGTGCGTCCTGGATTCCACTGCTAACCATTATCTATCTTTGCTTATAAAGCACATATGCGAACGAGAAACTGATCGATTGCAGTCCTAAATAACAATGGGAAGATATAAGTAAACAACACCAAGTGAATATAAATGCACCCCATTGCACAAGCAAGTGGGTTTCAGAACTCATTAGGTAAGTGGATAATGTGATGGTGTTTGAAGTGAACGGTAATGGGTTTCAATCTCAGAGTAAACATGAACTGTGAGATGCAGGTACATCCAGCTGACGAAACCCAAATAGGACGAAACGCGTTTCCTGGATTACATTGCCAGCCACCATCCATGTGTGCTTTTAATGTCAGGGATTTACTTTTATACAAAGTATTTATTTTTATATCTTAGTGACCTTTAAAAATTTGATATGATTTTAAAATTCAACCATTGGTGTATCTTGTCGTTATTACTCAGAGGTAATGAAAATGTTTCAGGTTTATTTATTCATTACCCTCTTAGTATTTGTAGTTGTCTTATTCTAGGATAAAACTCCGTGTTTTAATAGTGCTGGTATATTTTTAAATCAGTTCAATCCGGATCTTATAAATTTTATTGATATGGTTCTTGTGATCTTTATTTAAAGAAACAAATAATAAGCAATCATTGAATGTATTCAATACTCAAAAGCATATCAATTATTACTTACCTATAGCGGAAAATATTTCTCTTTGTTCATTATGTGTTTGTACAGCTGCATTAATATTGATACAACCACATTTATCTTTTAATGGTGCTTTCCATATAACTATCATTTTTGTAACAAGTCTTTGAGTACGTGAGATCTTCTCAGCTGTAAGACCTTCACAACCTAATCTTGTTTGAGTGACTGCTGTCTCTGTTGTCCATAAATCAGATAAAATATTATTATTTGGATCCTGATTAGTTAAATGAATCCATTCGCCTAACTCTCTAGAAGAGTAATTGCTCATATTATCTGTTAACTAAGGAAAGTTAAAAAATGATTCAATAAAATAAAGATTCTAAGAAAAGTGATTGATAAGTAACTTATTTTATAAAGATTGTTCTGTAATAGGATCTAAAACAATCATTGATAAAGTTATTTGGATAAGAATCTTTGCAGAAGTAATAGTAGATCCATCGGTAATGAAATTTGTCATTTTGAGACATGATGTAACGAAGGAAATTTCAATCAAAAATTGATGCTTAATTGAACTTTCAGAAACAGGAAATAAACTATTACCTCCCAACTGTCGAACTTATGTGATACCTGTTTAGGATTCATTACATGGGATTTTTTAGGAGGCGATGGTATGTGTCTACCTTTGTACGAAATAAAAAGAAAGATTTGTGAACAAATTCTGTGAATAGATTCAGCACAGATTTGGTTACTGCTGCCCCTGAATAAAATATTTTACTTCAATTGTATATGTAACAAACCTGTATAAAAAAGTAACTGCGAAACACTCATCCTGATGTCTTCACTAGAATAACTGTTATCCTCTACCACCCACAGCATTTAAACACTTATTACGACTGATTTGTATCATTCTTTAGTTTTTCAAGTTACATAAATTTAGTAATATTTAAGTTTCTAGAATAGTCAGCCCTAACAGAATTCACTTTTAAGAAATGAACCAAACCTTTATCATAGCGAAAATTGAAGGTTGTTAATTTGATTTCTGTTCCAATCTACATATTTATAAATCTCAATCATCAACAACTTTATCAATAATCGAGTCGATCTATTCGAATGGTCTGAATTGATCTAAGTAAATAAATATATCCATGAAACATTCGACTTACTGTGTTTGAATTGAGTTGTCCATTAAGTGATTTACTATCCACAAGAATTGATGAATCCATTTTTATATTCATCATCATTTTTTCCTTATTCATATTAGGTTCAATCCATATTAATCCATCACGAAATCCTACTGAATGAAATCGATTTGTCAATATTACATAATATTTTCTTCCAGGTTCATACCATTCATCAATCATAACACCATCATTTACTCTTCGAATACGTAATTCAAATCCATTATCATCCATCATTACTTTATCTTGATACTTTAGTTGATTTAAATCAGACTGCATATCCGATGATGATGATGATGATGATGATACGGTTAAGCTTACATTTCGATTGATACTTATTTGACTTCTTAGATTAACTGTAAGAGTTGTACATAATTTTGATAATTTTAAACCATCAAGTTTATTAACACAATTAAATATAAGGAGATATAAAATAGAATTCAATTGAAGACTAAGCATATTTAATAAATTATACGCTCCAATTTCAATGAATTTGCCCTTAAATATACCCAACAACAACAAAAATGTATGACATACACCATGGGTGTAGGAAAATACGTGGGTGTTTCTACCGTAAATAACAACTGATCAATAATGAATGGAAGAAAGAATATAAAGTAATTAGTATTACATATTATATATGTTCCGGTACTTTTATCAATTGTCAGATGATCAAGGTTAGGCAGGGCATGTTATTTTGATTAGTTGAAACTTGGGCATATTTGTATTTTTGGCTTGTTTATTTTTAATAGTTCTTAAGATAGATGAATTACAAATACACTTCTAGATCATATGACTTCAAGTTTAATGCTTTATCAGAGAAATATTAAATGTAGGTATTTCAGATAAAATTCATGAGTGCTAATATCTCTGATCAGAAAATTATGCCTTTCTTCTTTTAAATTAGTTACTATGGTGCATTCATTTTGGTTAGTTAGTGACTAAAATAAACGAGTGATTTTAATTTTGTTTTCTCAGTTAGATGGTTTAATTTTAAAATTTTGATTTGTTGTCTGGAGACCATCATCAGTGGCTACTTCATACAGAAATGAGCGTTTTTGTTATTTTTCAAGTGTTATATCAGTTCATTGTGATGGCTTTGTTTGTTATTAGTCGTTCTCGTAGATTTTGTCATCTTTATCTCTTCTTGTGTTCTATCCTATATAGTGTATCGTTCAGATTAACTAAATATTTACTTCAATATAAAATAGACTCAGATAATGTTGTCCACAACAATAGCGAACGTTACAAAATTGAATAATCTAACTGAGGGAATATAACAACTGTAAAAGTCAATTGATTAGCCAATAATAACCAACAAAGTTACCACTCAAGATGGTCTATAACCATGATGATAGTATTACTTTTATTTTAAAAAATTCTATTTAGCTAATGTTCATTCTTATTGATATTACCTTTTTCATAAATATTATATTGTCATAAGAAATCTGAACGACTCATTTATGAAATAATATCGTCCATCTTTTTTAATACTTACTGGTTAAACTTTTAACTTTGCCCTGTAACAAACCTCAGCGTAGAAGAGGAGACAGTGTGTAGTCTTAGTGACTAGAAGTATAAATTCAGGTACTTGTTAAAATGAACTGAAATTACTTTTATGAATCGTATGCTTATTACGATTATTATAATTTTGATAAATGAAAAAGTATAATATGACATTAACCAAATAATAGATTTTTATTAGTTTTAAACCACTAAAAACATTGAACAGTTGTTGATAGTCAATTTAATAGGGGTATTCATTGAATTAGAAATGATTGAATATGTATATAATGAATTTTTAAGCAAAGATGGATAGTGGCTAGCAGTGGAATCCAGGACACGCGTTTCGTCCTGTTTGGTACTTGTCAATTGGATACACCTGAATCCCAGAGTTCGAGTCCTGGAGTGAACATCAAATCTGGGATGAAGGTATATCCAGCTGACGAGTCCCAAATAGGACGAAACGTGCGTTCTGAATTTAACTACTAGCCACTATTCATCTTTGTTTATAATGCTTGTAAATATCGAGGCAATTCACACAGGATGCACATATACCAATAAGAGAGAGACTGATCAATTACAGTCCTAAATAACAGTGGTAAGATACAAGTAAAACAGCACCAAGTGAATGTATACAATGAAGTTTAAAGAATATGCTTCATAAAATTTCTTTCGTAGTGACCATATTTGATAATTTATTATTATTAGAAACTAACGTTTCTGGTAAATTATTTAGCTTTCACTAATAGAAAACTTCAAAAATTTTACCTTTTATCTTTTTTAGTATCTTTAATTTTTTCTGTCTATTACATGTTTTGTCCTATTGTGAGTAAGATAATCACTGTGATGATACTGATGTTCGTTTAGTGATTGAATTCTGAACACTAACGTCTTGAAACTTCAAAAGAATATTGTTATGACTTTATGTCCGGTTTTTTATCACGTGATTTATCTATCAATCAAAATACGACATATACAATCTTAGCACTGTGCCAAACGAATGACTTTCAACCGGTAAGAGCAGCCTAGCGTCCTCATTGGTCCTATGTCCACCTAGCCCGTCCACTTGAATCCAGAACAACAAAATACCTGCTTCCAATATGCGAATCGAATCATTTATTTTAGACATACTGGGTTTACATATCAACCAAACAGACCGCAATGCACCATAAAATAGGGAATAACATTTGTACACAATAAAGCCAAAAAGTGACTGTGAACGTGGGAGGCAGTAGTCAATAAACTGAATATAGCTTAAGAACAGTAAATCGTACAATAATAAATTATAGGTCAAAATAAAGCTTATAATATAAATATACATAATCTAATTATTGAATAGTTATACCATAAGAATGTATGGATCATATTAGTCAATTAATACGTCTCAGAAGTTACTCGTTATTTAATCTTCGCTCGGATATAACAAATACTTTCATAAATTATTATGTTGTCAATGTAATTGAATAATAAATTCAGTGTAATACAACAAAATTTCACTTTAGAAGTGTACATTTCCCAGATTCTTGTTCAGTTGAACATTATTACTGTATTAACGGGACATAGATTAGATTGAAGTATGCTCTATGCACGATTGTGTTGCTGCATGTTGCTTGACTAATTCTTAACCTATCAGCGCTAGTCGATACTTAGAGAACACCGTACTAACGTTTTAACTGTTGTGCTTCTTACTTCCATCTAACCTTCTTATTTGAATATAATCTCTTTCCTGTTCAACCATGTTCTGATTTGAAGACATGTCAAGTGAATTGGTGTCCAAGAACACTGAGCAACAGAAATAACTGGGTTGTAATAAGATAGAATTATAACACACTGGGCTTTACATAACGGAAATTATATATGAAACACAGAAGAGAGTATATACTTATCAAAACGGGTTTTGTAGAGATTTTAGAAATTTCAATAGTTGAAATCATGAGTCAATTGAAGCTAGACCACCATGGAAAACCTGGAAGCACTGGACGGCCGTTTCCTTTTAGTATGGGACGCCTCCTTAGCAGTGCGCATCCACGATCCCCCCTCGAGATTCGAACCAAGGACCTATCAGTCTCGCGCGCGAGCGCTAGTGAGAAGCCGTTACCAGTGGAGTTCAACCAGGTCTTTTGTGAGATATCAGCTCACTGAAGACATTGGTGTAAGGTGGTGTAATTTCGTGAAGAGTATATACTTAATTAATCAACTTTACCAAACATTAAAAAATTCATTGGATTCCATGATGTTTTAGGATGCAAAGATAAGAAAGAAGGGAAATTAATTACATCATCAAATGCCTAATTACTTTTCGATTGGATTTATACCTTCTTGGTATAATCAGAAAGTATACATTATTGAAAGTATAGCACTATTTGGTACGACATTAATTCACATTTATTGTCTAATTGATATAAACATTTAAGGGTCTAGTAACTGTCGTAATTTTGGTGATAAGAAGCATTTAAGTTGGGCATTTCAATTATATGAAATGTCCGCAAAAGTCAGAGGATTGTTATAATGAAAGTATTTTATTTATCACTGTAATTAGTTGAAACATCTTAATTTTTAGGCATGACTACAACCAGCTGTCATCCTCGTCTTGGTTACGAATGTGCCAAAATAATGGCTGATCATTATCCAGAGCGCCTTGGTTTAGCAATCTGTGTTCATCCAGGACCTGCATTCAAAGTTGCTTGGCAAGCCATCAAACCATTCTTACCACAGACAACAGTATCAAAAGTTTGCTTTATTAGAAGTAAATCAAAAATATTTTCAACATTTGAACAATACTTCTCTCCAGAAACGTGTAATTGGTTAATAACTGAAGTAAAATTCAATAGATCAAGACAGACAACAAACAAATACCGACCATTTTGGTTACCTCCAAAAGATTCCGATGATAAACATGATCCTAGAGGTGATCCGATATATGTTCGTGATTGGCTTGTACTGAATCATCCAACTCAACATTTACCACATCCAAATATTGTTGATTATATGCTTGGATGTTTAAATTCACTTAATTATGAAAATGCATTATGCTCTAATCATCTGGTTGATAGTAATTATGACTTAACAGAAAAGGGATTTGGTGATTTTGAAGAACATGAAAATGATGCTGATGAGGAAGAACTTACTAAAATGCTTGCTGCAGAATTACCAAAAGAATTTATGATTCCTGAAAATGCAGAAAAGTTAACATAAATTATTATATTACATTAGAATATTTATATTCTGTTGGCTCGTTCTCATCTTTTTAACACACTTGTCATTTTATACCACTAAAAGATAATATACGAATCAATAAGAGATGAGTTCTCAGGGTTAGACAATGGAAAGTTTTTTGGTAATATGGTACTTTATTTGCATGTATTTGGTTTATTTTTAAAGAAAAATTATTTTTTAATTTAATTTTTCATTATTCCTCAAGTTAAAATCTCTTCATTAATCACTTGAAACTTCGACAATGATCAAACAGTTCAGTTGAAACAACAGTATGTTATCTATTTAACATGGTAAATAATCGAATATATTCAGAAAAAGGAAATGTTTTCAACAAAATGTCTACTTTTAATCAACTCATTACTTTGCCAACATGAAAACCATCTAATAGAAACTAATTAACGGAGTAAGTGCCGCGCAATCCGACCAATATAATCTTTCCAGTGGTACACTGCACTATTTAATTACACGACGAGACTATAATTTATGGATGAATCAATCAGGTATAAGATAACAGGTCCCAGATTTCGGTGCAAAATTCACCCATTCATTTGGCTAAATAGAGTTTTGGCATTATAACTGATTTCAGTTTGTGATGAAAACCCTGAATGTAATTCCTAACTCTAACCATCAACTGTGAATCATAATTCTAATATCTCACACTGGTTTTTAACTCTCATTTGGTCCTAGTTATTAGGTCACTTTAGCATTACTCGAAGGTCGTCCATAAATTATAGTCTCACCAGTTACACTTTCGAGTCATCTGAACATGATGATGACTAAACACTGTAGTAAAACAATTTAGTGCTTCCTCTTTTAAGAACTGACTAGGTATACATAGTTAACACCAAATGAAGTCGAATTCAAATTTCCTTCTTGTTGGATGGCATCAATGATATCCACATTTTCAACAAGATTACCAATCGTAAATTTGGTTGATTGAGTCACAGATGACCACGTGTAGAGCAAAGCTGAATAGACTAACCAAGTCTGTTTTCAACCGCTTGAAAAAAAATGAAATGTTGATGGTCTATTTTCCAGTACATCAAATAATGTAAGCGGTTCAGTACAATACTGATTTCTGGAATAAAATAATTCTTGTCAGATTACCGAAATCGATGAACATAGACAATATTTCAAAATGCATGTCATCTATATGGGGATGGGATAAATATTCTATAACTCCACCACAAATTTAAAAAGCGTAATAACAGAAGAGTTTATGAAAAATGTAGATGCAATACTGGCTATAAATATTGGCAATGTACCCACCCCAGTTCGACGGGAATGGTTTGAAATCTTAGTTAGTGTCGTGTTCGCGCCTCGAGAGATATACTTAACCTGGCTTCCTCTGTGGTGCTAACCGAATAGGTTCAGACCCTATCGAAAAGCACAGTTTACTAAAGAAATTAAGTTAGAGAGACAGGAGGTAAGAACACCTTCACATAAGCCGTTCTGTGGCATGGAACCAATTATTTCTCGTTGGCTATACTTGAATTTGACGAGATTCGGTGAACTGTTTAACGTTTAATGATCTGCCATCTAACTTACAAATGATTCAGCTAGACGGACTATTGGGCAAGGGTTCATTGACATATTATTTACCCCATAACCAATTATTTATGGTATGGTTTATTTTTATTAACAATGTACATGCGGTATGAATAAAAGTCCTTCATAAAGATCCGCTTCTAACTGAATCCTCAGAGCGTAACCTTGGGCTAGTAACCACCGAGAGTTTAGACGCCAGCTCAAACCACATCGGAGATGCAGTCGAGGCAAGCGTGAATCTCCGCTTTATGCGTAGACTACTTGGGAAGACCGCCTCGGAGTTGTTCCAAACTCTCTTTATAACGTACCCGCGGTCCCACCTTGAAGTTCACAAACTCATTTAGCCTCTCTCTCTTCAAGAGAGTCTTAAATCTCTTACACTACGTACAGAAACGTGCAAACAAGTTAGTGATAGAGCTTAAATCTCACGACAACAAACTTTAACACATGGGGTTATTCTGGCTGAGATACAAGATAATAAGAAGTGGTCTGGTAATCAATAAGATATACCGAGCGATCTCAACACAAGCACATTACCAGATCATCATCAGGGTTGGGTATGTCTTTAGAAAGTTTTAATATCGATATTTGTTGTCTATCCAAGACGCGTATGCAAAACTCTAGTGTAGTACCACAAATTCGTTCCCCATCCCTCGCTTCGAATTGCTTGTTTCATGTGCATTTATCGGGGTACCATATGAAATATTTGTCTGGTATTGTTGACTTTGGTATCGCACTAAGGGTCAAAGCTGAGGCAGCACCAATCGATTGGATCGTTGTTAACAGTTAGATATGTGCTGTTGGATTAGAAAATTCTAACAATGTGCGAAGAAATAGGTGCGTGAAACGACGTCTTTTCGTCATCTCCACCTATGCTCCTATAGATTTAACCCGGATGCTATCAATGATGAGTTTTGCCAACAGTTAACAGTTCTACAGAAAGTTCGTTCGACAGATATTGTAGCACTAGTCCGAGACTTGGATTCTCAGGTCAGGTGTTTAGGAACAGAAGGGAGTCGTTAGGGACTTGTTGGTTGCGGGTCAGATAATGGTGACCATCTGCTACTACCCGTTCCTAACTAGCACTATTTGCCGTCCCAGTAATTGCCGATGTGCTACCTGGCGTCCTCTCTCTGCATCTCGAGCCTTGACTCAGACTGACCACATCAGAATCAGCTGCCACTGAAGTGATTGTGTACAAGAGTGCCGCTCATTTTGAGGCACCAATCTGGACTCTGGTCATGTCTTTGTTTGCGGTAGTCTTACCTTACTTTCCAGTGGTTAACAACTTCATCGTCCCAAACCGACTGATGTCAGTAAATTGGTCACAGCTACTGTTACACATAAATACCAAGGCTAGCTACCCTACTACTAAACATTATGGGAGTAAAGTCGCTTGCAGCTTCGCAAAACATTCAACTTATGAGCGCTGGGTTTCCTCAGGCTTTTTACAACTCAGTGAAGCCCTTAGGTTTACTCCGAGTGACCTCAAGTCTGATTACAATCAAGGAATATTACATAATGAAATTGGGAAAAACTTGCCTAAGGACTGAGAAGAATGGTGATCGGAGCGTGCAAATAAGTTGGGAGCATCAGTTGCATCTGGCAACTTCCTCAAACTCTTTCAATCCATCTGAGTCACTGGCAGCACGAAGTCTAGTGTGAGCGAAATATTCTGTGAAGGTGACCTCTTTAACGATGAGCAGACCTTTTTAAAAAGCAGTTCAACTGGTCTGTTGCTCCGAGAGTATCGATCAGACTGTCCTTTCCTCCATGATCTGTGACGGCTGATCCACCTAATGAGTCGAAAATCCCTAAGGAACTCTAACTATTAAGGCGCTATGCGAATGATATTTTCTTATTGTGCGACGATACCCAAGCCATGCAATCCGCACTTAACCAGTTGGCAGTCAGTGTCCGTGGGTATGGAATGTACTTTGGACCTCCTAAGTGCAAAGTACCTTAGCAAAGCTGTCAGGACCCTGATCCTGCACTCACTCTGTGCAGTAAGCGATTTGAAGTATCCGAGAAGTTCATGTATCTGGGGAGTGGCATAAGTGCTGGTGGTGGCGTGAGTTATGAGATCAATTAACATATAGTGAAAGCCGGAGCGGTTTATGTCAATTTGAGCAACCTTTGGCGCTTTCATGATGTTAGTCTGGTCGTAAAACGTTGGATCTACAACGCGTCGGTGAGAGCAGTTTTGCTTTATACTTGTGAAACCTGGCCTATCCGAGTTGAGAATGTTAGACGGCTCTCTGTGTTTGGTCATCGTTGTCTCCGGAAAATTGTTGACATCCAGTAGCAAAACCATGTCGGAATATGGTCTAACTCAGCAATAGTATATCTATCTTTAATACCATATTAATCGATGTGGAGGCTTTCACGATGTGACTGCCGAACCTACAAAATCTTACATGGAAGTCATATCACTGCCCATACTGACTCATCCTACATGATAATCAGCAATACGATGTTTAGTACTTCTTATGAACGCACTCCTGATGGGGATGAATTACCGAAACAATCCAGTTGCCAATTATGAAAAACTTATGTAGTCCTGAACTTTTGTGAGTTTCTTCTGATCTAGTTTCTGCCATTTAAACAATTTTTACTGAGCATATATTATCCCAAAATAATGGTTTTACTTTGATTACGTGTTGCCTTACTCATAGGTTTTATATTTGTAGATTCCAAACTAAATAAGCTTGAAATGATGAAGAACTGTCAAGGCTATTTAGTTTGTAATTATTATTATTCACATACAGCTTGTGGGTACATAAGTGTTGTAAGGAAGCTATTTCGGGTTTCCTCAAAAATGCAATGATACACAAGTTTCAATATTGTTAGCATAATATTTAGAATATTTAAAGCTACAGGATCTGTGCAATTGAGTTGTTTTTAAAGAAGTAAAACGAGAAAATAGGGTAATAGTAATAAAGGAAACTCGAAATATTTAAACAATATAATAAGCGCGTTTGTGAAAACAGAACAAGGATAACTGATTATCCGTGAATCGTCATATGAATCCCAAACAAAAGTAGAAGAAAAGATAAAGCTAGTATTTTCCCTCAGTTATTCAACCAGTAATTGTTCAACCAGTAATCGAATCTAAATTACTTTAAATAGATAAGTTGATAAAGAATGTAAGAAAATTATCATATACAACGAATAAATGTTATCCTGTCCCTTTTTGGATAGATTGCGTACAGGTTCGTTCGAAAGATAATATATAGTTAGGTTATAACACGAAGTGTTTCCAATTCTGGAAGAGTACTTCAATTCACAATCACAAAATGCACAATTCCTACCAAAGCAAGCAACAAAATCAAGAGAGAAAAAAAAACAATATGGCTGTCGTCACGACTAAGTATCAACTAAAACAACATAAATTCGGTTCAGGAAGAACACGGAAATTCAGTGGAGGTGTA